AAACAATAAACAAGGGTGCTTGTCACCATGGACTCTCATACAAACAAATCTCCAGGTTGTACTTCAGACAGAAGAAAAATAATCTCAAGTGGAAAGTCTGATGTGCAAGAAAGAATAAAGAGCACAGATCATGACAAAAATATGGATAAATATGTGTTTTATTGCTTATAAAACAATAAAATCATGTGGGGCTTTAAAAAGGAAGTATATACTGGACATCAATAGCAGATAAGTTAGGAAGGTGGAAAATGGCAAAAATATTATAATATCTTTGTATTTTCCAGGAAGAAGGGCATGACATAAACTTTGATAAATTAATTTCTAGAGTGACCACTAAATTAATAGAACAGTATATACATTCTAAGATAATGAGGGGAAAAACAGAATAAAAAAAATTCAAAAGAAGGCAAGAAAGTAGAGGAAAAATTAAAATGGAACAGGAATATGGAAGAGTGAAGGATCAAAAATTGCATAGACACCTCTAGAGAAGAGAAACAAGATGAGCAATATCAGTGCTTATTCTAAATGGCCACTAAGACATTTGGGGTAGATTCAGATACAGACCAAATGACATATGCCATAAAACAGAGTCCCTTGCATGCATTATGGTGCTTTGGTTTATGACCAAGATGGAATGTCAGATCAGGGGAAAGAAAGAACCATTCAACAAATTTTGCTGAGAAAATTGGCTCTCCAAATGGAAAAGAAGAAATTGGATCCCTACCTCATACCATACACAAAAATCAATTCTAGATGCCTTAAGGACTTAAATGTTCAAAACAAACTTCATCATAAGTTTTAGTAGAAATATTTTATATTTTAGTGACAATATTTTAGACATTGGTGAGAAAGGTATTTCTTAAACAAGATACCAAAACACATTAACTATAAAAAATATATTTAGGTTAGACATGGTGGTTCATGCCTCTAATCCTAGCACTTTGGAAGACCAAGGCAAGAAAAGGATGAACATAGAACTCAGGATGACGATTACCCAGATTGGGGAAGAATCGCCTTATAGCTGGATGTGTGCTAGTAATAGGGGCCTGGCTTTTGTTAAGTGAAGGATTTGCAGCTGATTATTACATTAAAAGAAATAAAATAAAAGGGAAAAATGGAATGGAGAAAGGAAGGAAGGGGAAGGAGGAGGAAGGGAGCCCATGCATGAGCCAAATAGGAGATTATGTCATGAAATAAGGATCTTGATAAATTGAACTCCGGTCACCTGGGGTCCTTTTTTAAAAAATAATAAACAATATAAAAAATGTTTGTGAAAAGTACAGGGATGATTAACACAAAAGTTGGGACAGTGGCTGCACTGGGGTGAAGAGGGAGACACATTTGGGGACTCCAACATCCTGGCTCTCAATTTCTTAACTCAGTTGTGGATACACGCTTGTTCACCTTCTTATTATTCCTGATGCACACAATGCTTTATATGCAGTCTTTTGTATGTATGATTTATTTCACAAAGAGTGAAAAAGAAGAAAGAAGGCATAAATTAATTAAATAGAATACAAAGAAACAAAAGAGGGAATTTTTAGTGCTCTCTAAAAACGCTAATAAATAATCAAAGCCCTGGCAAATTTGATGAAAAAAAAAAAATAGAGGCGGCACATATATTCAGAATGAAAAAGATGATATAACTACAGATACAGCAGAGATTTTTAAACTCTAAAGAAAATACTATGAACAATCCTATGCCAATAAATTTGAAAACAGAGAAAATAAGTAATGCTCTAGAAAAATGTGTAACAGGATATTAAAATGGGACTCTCTCCATTTCAGCTTCAGCCAAGGCTCCAGAGACCAAGAACAAGACAAGATGCCAAATGCTCCCTGTTCCTAAACAAGATGCCAGGCCGCCTCACTTCTGCAGAGCAAGCTATGGTTTTGTGAAACCAGTTCCGCCAGCATTGACCATCCCCAAGGTCCAGCGGCTGAAAGGGGACAAATTGGAGAGGCCTGGAAGAAAGAAAGATGCTTTTGAAGATGGCAGTGCAGGCAGCTGCTACTGCTCCACCTTAAGCCAAGTGAGAAGGGCTTGAGGAGGGCCTCTCGGGGAGCTTGATGGGTCCTCAGCATTGGGGGCACATGTGGAGAGGAAGGAGAAAGTGCTGTTAGGGGAGCTGCTGCACTCTTACTGACAGCGGGCAAGGAGATACAAGTTTACCAAAGGGCAAGAGGGAAGGGGATAAGGAGTCTGCCCTCTGGGGAATGGGACCAAACAGAGAAGGGTCTGGCAGGGACCAGGTGGCTACTGGAGTCAAGATGTCACCATGCCAGAGGCATTGCAGCTGGAAGCTCCCAATAAGGTAAGCAGGGCTCAGAGAGAACCATGAAATGCCATGCAGAAAAGCCAGCTTTAGACATCCACGAGCTCAGAGAGCACCAACCCCTGCAGAAACACACCTGCCTTATAAAACTGTGCCCTTTCCCTCACAGCAACCCCCCAACAGGGGCCTGCAGATTGAACATGGTAATCCACTTATCTATCTATGTATCAGTCATCTGTCTATGTATCTGCTTATCCTAGCCAAGTAATATTTATCCCAGAAATGCAAGGAGGGTTTAACTTCAGAAAAATAACTACTATAATTCATCAAATTAATAAATAAAAAGAAAAACTATATTTTAAAAACTTTTTAATAAAACTTAAACCTATTTACATTTTAATTCAAAGCTTCATGTCAAAAACAAAAACAAAAAATAAATCTCTTAGAGAGTTAGGGATAGTGGGATCTTCCTTAACCTGATAAAGGATATCTTTCAAAACTATGAGCAAATATAATATTCAGTGGTGAAACATTAGACATATTTTCTTTGAAATGAGAAATCAGCTGGGTGCAGTAGCTCAAGACTCTAATCCTAGCACTCTGGGAGGCCAAAGCAGGAGGATCACTTGAGGTCAGGAGTTCAAGACCAGCCTGAGCAAGAATGAGACACTGTCTCTACAAAAAAATAGAAAAATTAGCCAGGTGTGGTGGCACACACCTGTAGTCCCAGCTACTGAGGAGGCTGAGGCAAGAGGATCGCTTGAGCCCAGGAGTTTGAGGTTGCTGTGAACTAGGCTGACGCCACTGCATTCCAGCCTGGGTGACAGAGCAAGACCCTGTCTCAAAAGAAAAAAAATAAAAATAAAAGTAAAAATAAACGAATAAATTAAATAAAATGAGAAATCATCTGGGATTAAATCTAACAAAAATGCTGAAGATTTTTATAAGGAGAAAAATGTACAACTGTACGGAAGGGCATAAAAGAAGACTTAAATAATATGGCAATATGCAGCATCCATACATGGGAAGACTCCATGTCTTAAAAAGAGTAATTCCCCCCCAAATAATGTCTACAAATCCAATGCCATTCCCACCAGAATCCCAAAGGGACTTTTTCACAGATTTGATAAGCTAATTTTAAAATTAATATGGAAAGAAAGTGAACCAAGAATAGCCAAGGCAATTTTGAAATAAAAAAACTAAAATTAAGAGACTTATCTTGCCAGATAAAATAAATCATTATAAAGCTGTTGTAATTAAAACAGTGTGATATTCCTCCCAGAACAAATAAACCATGAATTAAAATATAAAGCCAAGAAATAAGCCCACAAACATAGCTAATATATAACAGAGGTGGAATTACAAATCAGTATAATGAATTATTCTATAAATAATGAATGACAAAAATGAATTATTCAATAAATGACACTGAAAAAAATTGGCTATTTGAATAAAAAGGTAAAATTAGGCCTTTTCATCACATTGTACACACACATATAATCTAGGGAGATTAAATATATAAATGTAAAAATCAAAATTTTAAAATTTTTAGAAAAAATATGAGAAATAGAGAAGAATTTTGATAATATCAGTATAGGAAAAAATTGAATCCAAATATATTATCTACAAACTATAAAGGAAATTTTTGAAATGCTGGAATATATTAAAATTTAAAATTCCTATCTGACAAAGACTTTTATTAAAGAAATGGAAAAGACAAGTCACAAATTGAGAAAATATATTTTACCAACAAAGGAGTAGTATTTCAAATATATAAAGAATCCCAACAAATCTGTAAGAAAAAGACAAACAACCCAACAGAGAATTGTGCAAAGCACATAAACAGGCAACTTGCACAAGAAGAAAATGGCAGCAAATAATCATATAAAATAAGCTTAATCTCACTAGTAGTCAGGGCAAGAAATGGAAACACAGACAGAATTCCATTTCACACTGATCATATTAACAAACTTTTGCAAATCTGGTAACAGACTTGAAAGAAACAGGGGAAGGGAGCTCCTGTACTTGAAGGGAGAGGTGCTGGTATAATCGCTTCGAGGGGGAATTTGGGACTATCCAGTAGATCTGAAGATGTGCAAACCTCACAACTCAGCAAAACCATCAATTCTAAATAACCATTCTAAAGACAGTTTCTCACACATGTACAGGGAGATCAGCACAGTGGTGTTCATCACAGTCCTGTTTGCAATCGTGAGAAAGTGAAAATAACTATCATTAGGAGAATAGACATCTAAATTGTGGTGTATTCGCCTAGTGGAATATCACACAGTACTTAAAATGAACCAGATGCATACATATGACCTGTCACATGTACTCACTGGGCTTTATAGATTCTACCTCCTTGATGTCTTTCCACTCCCTTCCATCCCCTCTGCCAGTGCCCTGTCACAGTGTTTGTTTGGACGATACAACAACCACATAACTGGACTCCCTGCTCCACATTGGCCTCCGGGATCCCTCCAGCAGCCAGAGGTCTCTCCAAGGCACACATTTGGCAATGTCAGTTGCCTGCTTAAAGCCAACCCATGACTCTCTGTGGCCTACAAGACAAATCCCAATGTCTTAGCAGAGCTTACAAAAGCCGTGTCTTCCACGCCACAGACCCTTCCAATCCAGCCTCACATGCCCTGATCATGTGACTTGCTCTTTCCACCTGGAGTGAGCTTCCCTCTTCTCGGCCCCTTCCCACCTAGATGTACCCACCTGTCAAAGTAGATCAGCCTGGCAAGTGTCCACACTCATCTTTCGAGGCTCAGCTCAAGAATCTCTGTGAAGAGTTTGCAGAATGCCTCCTTCCTTTGCTGTCTTCTGTAACCCCTCCAGCCACATCTCAAGGTACAAGACCAGGTTCTCTTCTCTGTAGGAACCAAGACAAGTCACTTCCCGCTCAGAGCCGAAGCCCACACCTGTGCAGCAGCGACCACTCCGTCCAGTCATTCACACGGGCTAGTGCACACTGGAGAGCTCTGGACATGGGCCGGAGGTGGCTTCTCACGCTCAATGCCACTGCTCCTTCCTAGCTTGTCAAACAGTGTCACTTTCCATGGTTGCTTCCCTACTTCTGTTCTCTGCGTCCCTCATCGAGTTCACACTCTGAAATCAGCTCTGCAGACTCACCAATTGGGCCCAAAGAGTCATCACGCGTGAGTGTCAGTAGGCGAGAACCACGTGCAGCCCCACCCCAGGAGGAGCCAATGGAAGAGATACTTGAAGCCAAACTCCTGCATCCTCCTTCACTCACCTGCACAGACGGCCCCGAGGACTAGGAGGAGGCAGAGAAGGTGCCACCACAGAGGAAGGCGGACCAGGAGAGCAAGGTCAGACAACAGCCAGGGAGGAGAGAGCCGTGTAGAATGTTACAGAATGTTCTCATAGGATGGGTCTGTCTGAAAGACAACACAAGGCCAAGCCTTTCAGATGATGAATCAGAAGTAGCATCATCACCCCTGAACCCTACACAAGTGGTCTTAGACTATATTCTTGTGCAACTTTTGTTTGTTTGTTTGTTTGTTTTAATCTTTATGACAACTACTCCTTTCCATGGGAGGTTGATCCTATTAAGTGGGAGTCTTTGCCTGGCGAGCACCTTGACAGGTTCAGGGTGGAGCAGCTGAGTGCTGAACTGCTCTGAAAAACAGAAGGAAATGACATCCAAGGGAAGGAGAGGGAGAAACCAGCAAGGCGAGGGAAGGTGAGGCAGCATGGCAGGTAAGGCACTGAGTCAATATTTTAAATCAAGAACAACTACTTTGTGCTCCTAAATCATATGCCAGGTGATGTTGGGTATGGCTACCTCCCCAGGTAGTTGGAAGAGCCTGCTGTGCTCCCAGACCTTCATTTTCATGGGTCTCTTGGGGGAAGAGAGAGCAATGGGCTGATCTCACCTCTGTTCCATGTGGAATGGAGAGGGAGTTCCTGGATTCACACCCTAAGAGCATAGGGTCCCTTGGGGATTCACGGAAATCTCTGCAGGACTGAAGGGGTCTTTAGAATGAGGGTTCAAGACATTTTGATGTAGATCTTAAGTGCCCCTAATTGACAACTGGCTCTCTCTTGTTAAGGTCCACAGCATTTAATAAGCTTAGAGAAAACTGCTGAGCTTTCCAAGGTCTACCCAAGCCCTCTGGCATTTCATATCCTCAAGAAGAAATGAGGAAGTGCACATGTCTACCATGTCATATGTGCTGTGTAACACCCTTTCTTTGCACTTGGCCACAGACCACAGCCACCCAGAATGGGAAGAGTCCACAGAGAATACCTAGGTGAAAACCCACTTACATGGGACAAAGGAGGCCCAGAAAGGGAAAGCCACTTTCCCAAGACCACACAGCAAATGGGTACACAGCTGAGACTTAAATCCACATTTTCTGCCCCCCGGTTTCAGCTTTTTCCCCAGAGTACTGCAGCTGCTGTGAGTTAGGCTGAAGCCAATTTGGGTTTGAAGGCGTTTCATTAAAACGTGTCCTGGGAGTCAGAATAGGAGACAACAAGGCCTTGTTTCCTAAGTGAATCTCCAAGGGCTATGAGTTCCAAGCAAACACATTCCTGAATCTCTGCCACCACATTTAAAACCAGACCAGAAAAGTTATAAATGGGCTTTTCTTTCTGCAGATAAGAGAACCACAGAATGTTAGGTCTGCAAAAGTTGGACTAGTGGAGTGTTTCCCTGCCCTGACTCCTCACGGCCTAAGAATCTGAATTCTCTACCACACACCTTTAAAGTTACGTAAGCAGACAACAGATGTGTCTTTATTAGTTCTTCAACAAACACTGTAAATATTTTTAAATTTTTTTACCTCGTTTATTAGAGGAAAGCAATAGGTGTTAAATGAATTATATTCAATGTTTTGCAAAATATTTAATTATTGAACTCACCAAGAACTCGTTTCTCTAAGAATGGCAGAAAAGCTGGACATGGGAGTGCTCAGCTATAGTCCCACAGTCCCAGCTACTCTGGAGGCTGGTGTGAGAGGATCACATGAAGTTCAAGTCTAGCCTAAGCAACATAACCAGACCTAATCTCTAAAAAAAAAAAAAAAAGGAGCAGCAGAAATTATGTGGATAAGTATTGAAGCCAGGTTCTGGTATATGGAAGTTCATTATACTATCTTCCCTACTTTATATATGTTTTTAAAATCCCATAATAAAATGTTAACACTATATGTATTTCTTTTAAAGTCTGCTTCTCAAATTAGTAAATGTCAGAAGTAAGGACTTCCATCATAAATATTTTGTCTTATGGTTAAAAAAAATAAAACCAAACTGCTATTAACAAGCTCCAGTTTATACAGTTGTGCTTGTGTCAAAGCTCTCGTTTTAAAGACGTGGAAATTGAGATCCAGTGTGGAGGATGGCTGGAGGCTCTGCACAACCACCGTAAGTGGAGGCAGCAACCACCTCTCAGTAATCTTTGTCACAACCACTTTGCACGTGCGTGCAGACACATACGCACGCAAGCACACACCCACAAGCACACAGGACACCGAGAGCGTGTTGACGGATCCCTGTTGACCACTCATGTTCTACACTCCCTGCCTCCCAGACAGAAGTGGGTGCCCCCTTCACTCACGCCCCGCTGATCCCCACCTGCCACATTCTTCCAGAATTCCTGACTACTCGTCTGTCTCCTCCATACTCTCCATGCTTCTTGAAGGCAAGGATGAGGCTGGCCTCTCGGTCCCGGGCTGGACAGACCCTGCCTCACACAGAGTGGGCACTCTATAAATAAATGCTAGATGATTTAAAGGTCAAGCTGTGTCGCACTCTGGGCTTAGAGCGGAGAGTGGGGAGGAAGACAGAAAAGAAGTGACCTGGAAAATGGGCAAGAGCTGCGTCCTCACCCCAGCTGCACTGCTTGCTGCCTGCGGGGCTTCAGTGTCTCTATCACACAGCGGGAATCACGGAGTCAGGGCGAAGAGCGATGCCGGGCACACAGTGCCTGGCACGTGGTGGGTACTAAATAAAAGGCTGCTGTGACAAAAACGAAGATGCCGGGATGAAGATGACACCCGATGCAGAGCTTGGGGCAAAGGCGGTTCCAAGCAGGGGCGGCACAGGGCTTCCAGGCCGATTTTAACCAGAAATCTAAAGTTCAAGACAATTTAATAAAAGTGAGGGAAGAGAGAGTATTTCGTGCTTTTATGTGCCGTGACCTTAATTGATCCTCATGTCAACTGTGAGGAGGGTGGTTTCGTGCCCAAGTCTACAGGAGGAAACATTACACAAACAGGTTAAGTCGCTCACCCAAGCTCTTGGGGACAGCATAACTGAGGGAACTTCTGGCACCTGGAGCAGGAAGGGTTTCTGGGCTCCTAGGTGCTCTCCCTATTCTCTTTAAATCAAATCAAGGCCTGGAAACAGCCCAAAGCTCACTCGCTTTGGGGCCCAGGCCCTTGTGCCTTTGTTTAACAACAAACACAGTTTCATTCCAGGCTGGCCTGGCTCGAGTTGGCCTAGTCAGGGCATGTCTTGGGAGGTGGGCAGAGCAGCCCAGAGCCTCCCTTCTGCCTCCTCCTGCCCATCAGAGGACGGTCCTCCCTCTTCTCCAAGCCTCGTAACCCTGCCCCACTGGGGCTCAGTTCTGAGTATCTGACCACACAGACCCCCCGCCATCTTTTTTGGAACCACGGAGTAAAGAGCTTTGAGGGGCTCAGAGGGCAGAGACGGGCCCTGCCAGGGTACCACGAGGCGAGAGAAATGGCAACCTGGGCGCAAATCTATTTACTGGCAGTGTGACACTCAGTTGGGTGACTTCTCCCAGAGCCTCTGTTTCCTGCAGAACAGGGAAAAAGATGCTGGCCTCAAAAGTTGCTGTGAGAGTCTTTAAGATGACAATGTGTAGAAAATGTCCCACCCAGAGCTGGCACTCACTAAATGCCAGTTTCCTCTCCTGTCGTCCAGAGCCACCATGCTTCCTTCCCTGCGACCTCTGCCATTTCTGTGCGCCACCAGTACACCCTGAACATGCGTCTATAAACTGACTCACTTTCAAAACTTAGTCTCACTTCCACAAAGAGAAAACCAGCAGCACTTGAAAAGCATTTATTCATTTGTTTAATCCGTATTTATCCAGCACTCCTCATGCACGGGTTCTGTTCTGGGTGCCAGGGGCACAGCCGCGACCACGACCGCACCCTCCTGGAGTAGGGGAGGCAGGCAGGGAACAGACAGGCCATCGGGGGCACTGCGCACTGTGAAGACAAAGAAACCAAGGAACAGGGCTGAACTAAAGACGGGAGTGGGAGCTGAGGGAATTCACCCCAAGCTAACAGAAAGGAAAGGCGAGCCGAGAACTGGTGACTTGTGATTGTGGGCCGCGGGCTGGGCGCCATGCGGGGAGGAGCTTCTCCCCGGGCACGGCACACCTGGTGGTGCGGATGGGGAGGCAGCCCTGGCTTTGCCCAGAAAGATCCGGTTTCCCCAGACTCTTTTTCCAGCACAGCCTGCCAGGAGAGATTACGATCGCAAAGAGCAACACGATGCCGCTGGAGAAGGAGATTAGCGGGTTCTGGGGTGCTTGTCTGCCTGAGAAAGGCAGTTTGTTTGTGATCTGACTCCAATCCACAGGATGAAGCCATGCCAGGTCCCCCCGGAGCTGACATGTGGAGAGAGAAGGCACTTCAAGCAGGGAGGAACCTGGCCAAACCCACAGGACAGGCCTTCCAGAACCCCCAAGGGGACCGAGGAAGGGGCTCTGGGGTCCTACGCATGCCGCAGCTCCAGCACCCCAGCACCTCCGCTGAGGACAGACTCTGGCCTGGGCTCACTGAGAACCCCGGGCCCTTCATCCTGCAGGGCTGGCCTAGAATGGGAGGAATCTGGCTGGTCTGCCCCAGAATGTGAGGGTCTGGACCCAAGGGTTGGTGAAGGCTGCTCCCCTGAGAGGGGAAGGGGGAGAATAGCTGGTTGGCATGGGGACTGGCAGAACTTTTAAAAAGTGAAATGTAAAAACACGAAATGTTTTTGACATCATCACTATTCAAAGCACAATGGGACCCTCCTGGTGACCCAAGAATCTTCAATAACGTTTCTATTACTTGCAGTGACTCTGGAGTGGGACGATCAAGGAGAAAGATCTGGCCCTACAACTGGGTCAACTCCAGGGAAGAGATAAAGAAACAGCTGAAACTCACAGCAAAAGAAAAATTAGATCTCATGGAGGCAGAAGTCTGGTGCCAAAGTGGCTGGGGACGATTTGCAGGAATTTGCATCTTAGAGGGCTTCGAGTTCCCTCAGGGCATGAAACGAGGGTTTCAGTCACTCTTGTTCAGATTTCCAGGGGCTGGGGACACTGGCTGCCATCTGAGTTACATGTGCTTGTCCCAGATATGTTTGCAGGGGTTATGAGGTGATGCAAAAATAGATGTAGTATGTCTCCCACCCTCAA